CAACCACTAACCCACCGCTACGCACAACTACGCACTGATGATGTCACCTCGATTGGTGATGAAACGTTCGCAACCAAATTGCCCAGCTCAGCGAACAAGCCAACGACCATCTACGCTACCTGAGCTACCGACATTCTCCTCTATAGAAAAGTTCCTTGTTTCTTTGTTTGCGAACCCGATATTCAGTCCTCCTTGAGTGTTCCGGTTGAGATATTGGTCTTTTATACGCAGAGGTGTGTAAATTGGATCCAGTTCGATGCACCGGTTGATCGAATCTGCCATGGAGTACCATGCTTCCAGAAATTCTCTTCCGAGTCTCGTGTCTCCATACGGCAAAATTTTTGCGTTTTACAGATTGAATTTGTGGCCTTCTTGATCTTCGTGTATGGATGTCAAGGACAGGGGATCATGCCTCCTGACGGCCGCGTTGTGTTCCTCTATTCGTGTGCATACTTTCCTGCCAGTTTGTCATTGGCTGAAACACAATTTCAATCACAATCACAGTGGATATCACATGTCAGAAACCATAGTCACTAACCGCATGAACTGCAGCTAACTGCGACCAAGAAAGTTCGCGTCAGTAAGGCGGCAACGAGAACAAAGAGAAGAAGAGACACACTGCGTGGATGATGGAATCATTTTCAAGGGATAGTTGCACCTGAAACTTAGAGAAGGGTCTATGGTTAACCCTTTATTAAAAAGGGTGGAAAGTTTCTTCTGTATCCTTTTTGGGAATCTTGGAGAACAGTGTACTATGTGGCATGTCCCATCACTTGTCTTCTTTTTCTGACCCCGCTAAGTTTGTTTACTAGACGTTTTATTGACGTGACGTTCCCTGTTAGGTACATTGATTTATTTGTGCACAAAGATGATTCCACAGCTAACTAGCTGCACCTTATTAAGTTTTCTTAGGGGATTTCTCAGTATGGACGGACGACTTCTACATACATTCCGTTCTGCTGGAGGTTTGCTTTCCCGCTTGATAGCTGAAGGGTACACAATCATTGATTGACAGTTCTTTGCTCCGAAGTCCTAGCTTTATCACCGCACGTCTACCAGCCTAGACTTCTTTGAATATGCTGTGACCTTGTCTTTCGTTTCGTTATTTCTTCTGTCTATTCGGTGGGGATCATGCTGAATCATCTTTATCTGACCTACTCTTCGTATTCTCCAAAACTGATCTACCAGTTTACCTCTCGTTATACCAATAACTCGGAGCCAGTTAAGACTAAAAGTCAAATCATTTTCACCTAAACGGTTTATTTTTGGTTCTGCTTTGCAAGGAATTGCTTTACCAACAGACCGATGGGAGTGAAATGAACTCTCCGGTTCCCCCACCGTAGTCAACTGCATCTCGACTCATCTTGGATCGCAACCGCACTACGCTTTCGTAAGTCTCCCAAATGTATGACTTAAATGCTTAGATGATACCTTCCTTGGAGCAGGGACGAACGTTAACAACAGACCATCTCATTCGGGCCGCCATCCGAACTTTTCATCTGCTCATCCGTTGGGAATGAAGCCAGTGATTCTCACACAGGCCCAGCGGATCCAACAAATAGACAATGACATGGTGCCCACAAAGGATATTCATGAATCAATTTGGTTTTTATGAGAGACTCAACTGAATCTCCCGTTTATGATGTTCTACGACTGAATGTGCTGCACACAGGTTGCCCCATGTTTCAGTTGGTGCGATATTCGAGACATCGCAGTATATTTTCATAAAGAAAGATGCTCACAAGGTCGAAGGGTTTTCATCAATCTTGTGAGTGGTTTCCTTTATGAGGATATCCATGAGACAACAAAGTATTAGTCATCCTCTAGGGTTTCTTGAACATGCAGTTCGATCGGCTCCCATGGACCTGGTAGCAATCGCAACGATATCAGAGGAAAATGGCTACCGTGTTCCGAGTTATTGGCTGTCTGGCCCGCCCGTCTACACTACGCAAAGGGTGGTCAGGCTCGTGAACTGACAGTCCGATTCAGGTCCAGGAAGTGTTTTTCACTGGCACGCACACACAGTCACGGTTTGAATCTCACCAACCACACGTGACATCCCACCAGCTAGTTTTGCTCCCGTT